ATATATATAATATATATATATATATACATATATATAATCTCAATAGCATATCTAACATTGCCATTAATGGCAGGACTATTGTTTGATTGGATGTCTTTCATTTGCTCCAGTTCTTCAAGCGTAACCTTGTGTGTCCTGGCCACATGTCAGTGTCTGTCTTTGGAAACCATTTTTCTGCCTGCCAATAGGAACAGATGTTTATAGAAATGTCCCAAAATATTAAATCTAACACCAAAAACTGTCATTGGAATTGCAAGAGATAACACAACACTCAGAAAAATGTAGTTTAAAAAAAAAATAAATACAGATTATTGGCTTCAAACAGAAAATGGGAGCGAAGGAGTGACATGACATTCACAGTATTAGCCACCAACAAAGCAAGCATTAAAAATGACCATTCACTAGGCTCCCTAACTGGAAATGTTCAGTGCTGTTTTTATCTCAACTGAATGTCATAAAACACTGGATTGAAACAGCATTTTATGTCCTTAATTATATTTTTCACATTAACAAAATGCACATGGCATCAATGACTTTTCCAGACTAGTTAATGAGAAAAACCTCACTCTCTCAGTACTTTTTTAGCATTCTTGCTCACCATCTGCTACTTATAGACTGAGAAGGGAAAAAAAAAAGCATCTCCAGCGACATAAGGATAACTCACTTTCAATAAATAAATGAATACATTTCATCATTTCAAGGGTTTGTATTTGTAAATAAAGCTTTGTCACACTGAAGAGAGTCTACATAAAAGATTCATGTCCGTGCAGAACTAAATAATTGGTGAGAGCGTGTACGCCAAGTTAATAGGCTAATTGTTCTGCACCCTCTGGAACTGTTTTTGGAAAACTGTTTTTGTCCACTCTTTATTATGCAAGAGAATATATCAATCAGAGTTTATGTAAAATAAAGTCAGTCCTTTTAAATTTATATAATTGTGTTTCTGTATGTCAGTTTCTCAGTGTTTTGAATAAAAATAGGCTTCCCATCTGCTTCCTGGTGTTTAATTAAAAACCTGTCAATCGCAAATTATCAAAATGCATCAATAATTGTTTTAGAATCACACCACAGCTCTAAGAAACAATTGAGTTGTGAGAAGAAGCATAAAAATTCCCACCCCTACAAATGCTATGTGCCAGATTTTATTTTTATATTTTATTTTTTTTATTTTATTTTTTATTTTGGGGGGGGGGGGGGGGGGTCTGGGTTCTTTTTATTGAATTTATGATTCATTGCAATAAAACAAACCAACTTTAAAAGGGAACAGATCATTGTAATACTTGATTTATTTACATAATGACTTAATTGCTGGATGTCCGGCCCCTGAGCTACTGGCTTTCAGTAACTGGTTTCCTGAGCAGTTTTGTTGAATTGCCCTGGTCTAACCAGTTAACACAGATATTTGTGCTGGCCTAAACTTTACCGGATGTTTGAAAAGTTAAGTACCGGTATAACTATGAAAGATCCTTTTAGATAACTTGGACAAAGTATAGTAACTTAGAAAAAGTGACTTGGACCGGAGTCCATGACAAATTTCCCCTAGGAGAAAATAAATTCTATTCTATAAAATATTTACATAATTTTCTAGTCATACTCAAGAATCTAAATAGTTATTTATTGTTTCACATTTGATTTACAACTACACACTCTGGAATCACGTTTAACAACCTTAAAGACTAAATTGAGCATGCAGAGGTAAAACAAAAACAATATTCTGCACAAAAATAAGATAAACAGGGTACCTTCTTTGACCAGGTTCTCATTGAAGAGACTGCTCAGAATGGATGCAGGGATGTTGCCACTGCCTAGCAGAATTCCTGTTATCATGGCCAGTTTGTTACGGTCAGACTCTGTGAACCCCTTGAGAAACAACAGCAGCTGCAAAACAGTAGGAATATAAATATAGATCTGTAGGGTGAAACAAATTAAGTGTTTCCCTTCAAATTCAGCAATTCACAAATCAAGAAAATGAACTTTGACAGGCAAAATATTTAAAGTTGAAAAAAAAAAAAAAGAAACCTTTTTGATTTCCTCCTCAAATCCCTTTTCCAGATATTTGTAACGCCTGATAAGCTTATTGAAGACCTGCAACACAAAACATAGATGATGTGTGATGTCTATCTTTCCTACGCTAACAATCCTTAATGAACAAAAAACAACAACACTGACCTGTGCGTACGCTTGCATGGTCTTCATGTCTTCTTGCGCTTTGAAGACACAGAATTCTGTGCAGGCTACGTCTTCTGAAAGAGTTCCTCCTGGGGCTAGAAAAAAAAAAAAATCTCAGTTTCATTTATCTCATGTCTGAATAGCTTTACTTTGCCAGATTTTATTAATTTGTTTATGTCTTATCAAGTATATGGAAGGTTCTTTTCTTTCGTTTTAAGCTGAAACACTTTTGTGTGTCTTCAATCTGCACTCATCTCTTCCAGTGCCCTTCTATTAATGCAAAGCAGACCCTCACCCTGATATCAGCTCTTTAGTATTATCTTCAAACACAGATTGTTGATCAATTGGTATAAAGTATGGCCAGACAGAAAAGGCACTGGCTGCAGGACATGCTCATGAGTACAAACCACAGCAAAGCAAGAGGCTAATGCTGGGTAGTTAGCTCTAAATTAAATTGTGAACAAGTGGTCTGACTTGACTATCCTCAATTTAATACCGTATATGTTTTGAAAAGGTCACTAACCCAGCATTCCACCAGCCACCAGGATGTCAAACAGGGTCTCAGCATACCGTCTGTAGTCAAGCTTGGCACCAGAGACGTCAAGAAATTTTGCAACAGCATCCAGATCAGTGCCTGTTTGGTTCAGACCTTGTACAATACTTTCCTGAAATTGAGTGGGGTCAAATCTCTCCTTTTCATCTGTGGGAAAAGAACAATATTGACTTGAATCGTGCCAATAACTTTCTGACTAGTTAGTAAAGATAACCTTTTTTGTATTATTATTAAAAATAATAGGTTATCTGACAGCTCTTGACAGATAAAACCTAAAAGTCATTTGCCACAAGAGTTTTGTTGCCACAATCTTGGAGCTGCAGGTATTCTTATGTGCTTAAAACAAACATTGTCCAAATAAACATCCAGTTAAACAGAACTAAAAAGTAAATAAAAGTATGCAGGGAGTGATTGCAAAGTGCATGTAAAACGTGTGCTATAAGTAGTTATTGAGCAAGAAAGGAAGATATGTGTGGAAATAGTGTAAATGCACGAGTTTCTGAGGTGTGTCTGAGGTCTCACCTCTTTTTCTTGTTTTGAAACGCTGGCCTGTTAGCGTAGGCTTCTGTTGCCTTTGATTACTCATAAAAAACACCCTGGAAAACAACATAAACAAGTCAGCGCTATTTAATATTTATACAATTCATTTTCAAATTGACACTAGTTTAAACAATGTTTCAAAGAATCTCATGTTGCAACGTAATCGAAGACTGACAGTCGGTTTAGGCAATTTGGGCGTTAAATCGTGTTAGATGTATCTACCTGGATACTGAGCATGCATCAGGACATCATGTTCTTTAGTTTAACAACAAACCATAATGTCTCTTCTGCACCAAAACTCGGACCATTAACATCACTTGAAAGGTTGTAAATATCAAAATGTAGCTGTTAAAAAAAGGCCTAGCATAATAATAACAAGGCTAACTAAATGTTAGCGTCAGCTAGCTTAGCCACGCAGTCTGTTGCGCAAAGCTTTGTTTTTTTTTTTTTCCACACAGATCCACATTAGGATCAAATTACGTAAGTTTTGTTCGATTACAAAACGAATATAAATAAACAAATAAATCATAAAAAACTCACCGAAATCCCTTTGGATTAAAAACAGCCCGTGGGAAAAAAAAATACAACTGGACTTCAGTATAACCAGAAACAGGAAAGAGGAAACGTCAGCGCGCATGCGCACTACGTGATCGAGTGAAGGAAAAAAAAAAAAAACTACTAAATTATTGATAAAGTAGCGTTTGATGTTAGGCTTCTCTCCAAAATGATGTGAAATGAACTAAAAAAAAAATGCTTTAATAATTGAGGCTAAAAAAGTGTCACATAATTATACATAAAGAAAGGCGAAGTAAATAAAATACTCTTAGTTAACTCACCAATTTGAGCCATTGTAATTAAATGGTTGTCAGCAAGTCGTTGCGATTTAAAATTAAGACACAGGAGGGGGATATTGTGCTACGGGGTGGATGATGCATCTGTCCACATGGGATGAAGGGAAAACTTCAATGGTGCGTTGACTTTCACCTCGTAAATCTGACTATTATTGACATCCTGACTTGCCTATACACAAGACTAAATGATAAGCAAATACAGCACGTTTTGTCTCATCATTTGATTGCAGGAGTTAAAAATACTATACCAAAACGTAATTATAAAATAACATTTTAACTGTTTGCAATAATTTTAATATTACAATGTAACCTGGACTCAACATAACAAAAAAATTAGCCTAAAATGGCTGTAATTGAAAACTAATTATTATTTTGGTCATTTCAAAGCAGACGTAGTGGCTTTTGTAATCATCATATTCGTACCAGGAAATAAAATGTTTAGTTTAAAACAGGTTTCTAATTTGTGTAAAGACAGAACATATGCCGCCGAGTCTGGGTGCAAAGCAGTTTCTCACTTTTATAGATTTTGAAGCCATAAGACATTTTCTAGTGGTTCCCAAGGTTGGGGTTGGGACGGGACCACACTGTGAGTCATGAAACAACAAGACGAGGTGTTTAGATGATATCCTGATAGCAACTTAAATTTAAAATACAGTTGCTTGTGTCATATTTTCACCATCTTTTATTTATTTATTTTTTACAAAGGAGAAAGCAGTCTCGACCAAATTAAAAAAAAAAAGTATTTTGTGGATATTGTGATTGTTTCTGTTATATGTATATACTTGTTTAACAAGGTGTGTTGCAAAGTTTGTGCATTCAAACCAGCAGTAGATAAAGTCACAAGGCTTTGCCACTGTTATTTTGTGGGTTAAGAGGTTCAGCAGTGATTCCCAACCCTGCTCCTCGAGGTACTCTATATGTTTTACTTGTTTCCCTGCGCCAACACACCTGATCCAGTGATTTGATTGCTTCCTCTGTTCCTGCAAAGTTCTGCAGGAGCCTGTAATTCACCTGTTTATTCAAATCAGGTGCGTCAAAGCAGGGAAACAACTGAAACATGTAGCATGGTGTTCCTCAAGGACCACAGTTGGGAACCATTGGCTTAGAGAACCACCATTCTAGATGGTGTCATAAGAAAGGCAATTAGATTTTTTTAAAGTGTTATATGGAAGCTTTAATTGCTTTAAAAAAACATGAATGAAATGTACCAGATGTGCACCAACCACAGACCACAAGCCTTTTCTAATTCTCTGAGCAGGGCCTTTTGGCTCCAAATCCAGCAATGATTCCCTTCTTTTCCACATTCAGGCCTACGTTTATGAAGTTAAACTCCCTCAAATAAAGCAAATTAACATGTATCTTTACCACACAAAGATCAGCCTCTGAATCTTTCAATTAAACATTGTATTCTGCAGAATAAGAAGCAATCTATCGGTTCCTCAGTAACAAATGCCTTGCGAGGACAGGAAAAGTAGTTCTTAATTACGACAACTCATGAACGCACCACAAGTCCCCCTCCTCCCTCGCGCACTGGAGGTGATATAAGTGACGCTGGACCAGCCCAGAGACGCCGCTCCAGCCACTCCCTACGCCCGGCTCAGTTTCTGAGCTCAGAACCAGCCGGAGCTTCATTCAAAGTACCGAGATCCGGATGAGAGCCTCGTCCGAGCCTCATCCAGCGCAGCAGACCCGAGTTTAGAGCGAACACAGCCGGGGAAGAGGGCTTCAGGAGCCGCTCCAGAGTTGGACAATCTCCCCGGGTTCAAACAACTCTTGTCCGCGGAGTGGATTTGAGACGAGGAGGAGCGAGTCTTCAGAGGATAGAAGAGGAGGTAAGAGTTATGTTGCCTTGCTTTAATGCTAAACAAAGTTGTCCTCCTTTTTTCTTTTTTTCAGCTTTTTTTTTATTGGTTCGACTGGTGCGTTCGCGGCAACTTTTCACAAGTTAACTTTCCATCGTGTTGAGTCGCGTCTCATTCATTTCATGTCACTTCGTAGAATAAAGGGTCACTGCTCCTCTTTAATTATTTCACACTATTTAAAAAAAAACAAAAAAAAACTTATTTGTGAACTGGTTTTGAAAACCGTTTGACTTGAACGGCGCAGTTTGTCTCCCCCCTGATCCAAATCAACTCTTAATTGCCAACATCTGTGAGCACGAGGCGGCGAGTCAAACAGCTGCAGACCCTGAAACTAGTTTATGATCCCATTCAGTTATTTCTCAATGCTGTCACCCAAGTTCTCGTTTTAGCTCCAATAGGTGTAACAGCGGTAAGAAGGCAATTTGTGGGATAACTTCTGTGGAAGCATTTTCCATAATTGGACTAATATGTTTGTATAATATGTGCACTATTCAAATGGAGGTCATGGTATAGAGACAAGCTCAGTTTAGTGGTAAACTGGCTGAAAGTGGCTCCCAGTTTTAGGAGTTCCTCTGGCTGAAATAAACCAGTTCAATAAGGACTGCATGAATCAAACTATTCATCTCTCTGAGGAAAAACGCCAAAGTTTGCCCATGACAAATTAAAAGTGTTTGCTTTCTGCTGCATTTTCTTGTGGGATACAGTCTGGAAGTTCATACACATCTATTGCAGCTTTTATAAGGAAATGGTTTGAAAGGAAATAACATGCATTGCAGGTAATTGTCAATATATAGGGAAATTAATGCAAATTTAATTTATTTTTTGTTTGTTTAAAGGAAGGCTGCCACAGTTTAGTCATAAAATAATTGGATACATTTTAGATGTTGAAGGCATAGTTTTCCTTGAAGAAATGTAAATTACCTGCTGCCTTTTTGTCATGTCGATAGTTAAAAATTCCATCTTATGAAAAAGTTATGGTGTTGGCAGTTTTCATCATACCGTGCACATGTTAATTTTTTTGTTGGCGGTTCCCTCTTCGGGGGTCACCACATCAAGCCATCCTCTGGCTCGCTCTGTCCTCTGCGTCCTCTCTCTTCACTTAAACTACATGTCATCTTCTAACTGCATCCATCTCCTCCTTTAGTTTTTGTTTTCCCTTTTTCCTGGTAGCTGCATTTCTAACATCCTTCTACCAGTATACCCACTGTCCCTTCTCTGGACATGTCCAAAGCCTGGCCTCTTAACTCTTTTTTTTTTTTTTCTGTCACTCAACCTGTGATGTACCTCTGATCTCATTCCTTATCTTGGCCATCTTTATCGCTCAAGGAGAACTAAACCTCTTCAGCTCTTCCACTAGTTCAGTCTCCTGTCTTTTGACAATACCATTTCAAAACCATACAACTGGTCTCACTACGGTCTTGATAAAGCTACAACCACATTAAAGTGTAGCTCAGTATCGAAGACTTCAACAGATCTTTAGCCATTTTGTGTTCGCAAAGGTCAATTTGCGGTGATAGCCATCTTGAATTGGGGTGACTTCAAAAGCTAAGCAGGTTGAAATGTACATCCAATGATGACTTGGGAGTGTTTCGTTAAAATCTGTCGTGTGGTTCTTGAATTTTTTTTTCTAATGCTAAAGACGCAAACATTATGGCTGTTTTTGTCTTTGACATTGGGCAATAAGCTATTTATTTTATTTTTGTAATGTAGTTTCTTCCTCTTTCAGCCAGCTTCACAGTGGGTGAAACCATATGGGAACTTTATTACCTGTCCTGATCAAACAAGCAGTGATGCACTGACTGAAGCATACACTTTCAGAGCTGTGGTGGGTAGTGACTTGGGGGAAAAGGGTAAGCAAGAATTTAGCTCGGCTGGAGTAAGGGCAGCATGTGGTGGGACTATTGGCTAGTACTTCCACTCAGTTGGAACTTTTTAGGGAGCATGTTGGGAGCAATGTGCCAAAAAAAAAAAATCCGTAGTGCCGTGGGGTGACATGTGGTCTAACACAGGGTGTATGGAGGTTCAAAGTCCCTCCACCAATGCCATGGCAATGAATTGTGTTTGCACTTGTCTGTCTGTGTAGTGAGGCGTGTGGCTTGTGTTAGGCTTGCGTCAACACAGACAAAGCCTTTCTGAAAGCCAGGAAGCATCAGCAGTCCTCTCGGTGATCCCAGTTCAGCAACTCATCCATATTATGACTCAACTCTCCCACCCACCCAACCTTTTTTTTTTTGTTTCTATAAGGAAAAACCCAAGTGAGAGTTAACCCAACTTGTGTCCAGGTTGGCTGTCTTTAAGAACTTATCACTGCGCTGTATAACCCTGAACATTTTCCACCTATTCAGCTTAATAGCTTCAGCTTGGGTTCCTGTGTGTCCCCGTGGAGCCGCAGTAATAACACTGTACGTTCAGCTTTTTCTCTCTGCCTCGTTGAGTCCAGCGCAGCTGCTTTTTCCATTCCTTTCCATAGACCTGATTCAGATGCTGTTTATATACCTCTTAGGACACGACGGCGCACAAGTACAATCCTTCTAAGGAGACTGCTGTTCTGAAGATGTGTTAAACGTTAAACACCAACATTTATTACAACGATCGACTAAATGCCCTCACGAGGAGTCAAAATGTCCTTTGAGCAAGGAGTAAGATTTGTGTGTTTAATGTAAACTTCAGCCTGCAGATTTTTGTACTTTTTTTAAAAGACACACAGCTGACTGTGCAGATAAATACAACAAGCATAGGTGACTGGGACTTTGTTGGTCTTGTGTGGTTTAATGGCAAATTTCTGCAGCTTTAAAATCCACTCTGTGTACGTCCTTGACACAAAATCAAGCTCTCCACCATGGCTGTCCCTTTGCCTCCAATCCTGTTTGTGGTGTTCATGGACCGTATCTCAAGACTCGGTTGTGGTGATGAGGTTCTTTGGTTTGGGAACTGCTTGTCTCTGCATTTATTTGCAAATGATGTGGTCTGTAATGGGGGTGCACTGGCCCCAATTTCCTTAATTTTGGAAGATCAGAAATGGGTCAATACTTTCATGAGAAACCATTTTTTTGTACTTTTTTTTTTTTTTTTTTTTCCCCCAATTTTTATTTATTTTTTATTTATTTTTGTCGTTTTAACAATTGTTTAACTTCATTTTTATTTCAGAGAACTACCTCTTAGCCATTAGGATATTTGTTCAAGGATATGTTTATCAATAAAATAAGATGATTGAAAAAATTGAAGGTCACTTGACAGTGACTCTTGTAAAACAAAATTGATATCGGCCAAAATCTGAATCAGCAGGTCAGGCTTGTAGAGATCTGTGATCGGCCAGAAAACTGCAATCTGTGCACCTTGTCTGTAGGTATCTTTGGAACATGATGTTCAGCATCTACTGGGATGAGTCTGATCTTAAGTTTGTGCCTCACAAGTGTATTTTTATTTTTTTATTTTTGGTAAGCAATGGAAGGATGGAGCGAGAGTGAATTGGTCCTACAGTAATGAGGATGTTGCTCTTGTGCATCGTTAAAGATTTGAGCTGAAGGGTGACTTTCTCAATTTACATTCCAATAAAATATAAAGGAAGGTAAATTACATTGGGTTCCTTAATTAACAAATCCTCGTTGAGGAAAAACGTTATGGGACACTTGAAACTGGGACGAAAGCAGTAAAGTTAACTTCCAGTTGTAAGATTTGCTTGATTATCATTACATAATTGTAATGGAATGAGCTGAAAGCTATCCAGTACTTTTCTATAGACTCAAACATTTTTGCTAAATCAATGCTGATTTGGTTTGGATAAAGTTTGAAAGTGGCTTCTAAGTTCAATAAATCATTAGTATTGTCATGTGTAGTCATCTAATTATGTTTGCAAAAGGCTACGTACTTCAAACTTGCTCTACTATGCTGTTGAGGACTCGAAGCAGTGCAGTTCTGAGTTCAAGGTTTGACTTGTTCTCTCAGGTAAAGTTTGGGAGGAGCTTGTATCTCCTGAAATGAACTCTTGGGTCAAATGATAAAGGTGTGTTGCATTGTTTTCACAATAGTAACCTGCCTGAAGGCTGATTCTAGGTGACTTTTCAAAGTTAGTGTTACAAAAGTGTGTGCTGCAATCAAAGGCAACTCAGAAATGTTTTAGATAAAATAACACAAAAACAAGGTTAACAAAACATGGCACATTTGTGTCTTATTAGCTCTTTTATTGCTCAAGTTAATGATTGCTCTAATGTGTATAAACTGTGTTTTTAATAACCACTCCCACCCCTTAAACACTTGGGCAGTACTGAAAGAAGCTGGTTGAGCTCGTGTGACCGTCACTAAAACGTATAGTTCATCAGTTTACCTTCTGGAATCAAATGTATAAAGCTTATTTATAATGGCCACAGCTGTTGATTGTTGATGATGGCTTTTTTTTAGTAGCTTTCCTTTATGACATCAGTTAATGACTTGTGTTTTTCAAACCTATTTATCTCTGCACTTTGAGCTGCTTTGTAAATACAGACCAGAGTTTGTTTGGATAACAGATTTATGTTTAACCTGCCCGGTGCGTGCGCAGTACGAAAATATACTTAAAGTCCTAACGATGCTTGAAGAACTGCATATTGCCCTCTGCCTTTCATGCCAGAGCTTTAGCCTAAGATTATCTTAAGGTGAGAAATGATGGTTGTTGCTTAGCCAGATGATGTCACGTTCAGAGTTCTGTCTGTTACACGGACTGAATTATCGTCATGTTTTGTGTTTTCCAAGACCAGATGCTGAGATGGAAATCTTAAAATGTTGGTTCTAAATGTAGATCTAGTTGTTGTTCCATGAAAGTTTGGGTTTGACTGTCTAAAATCTCGCAGATTTTCACTGTGCGCACTTTGTTTTTAACAAGTGTTGACGTTAAAGAGCTGTCGTCAACTAAAAAAATCCCCAAAGCACAAAAAAAATCACTTGCGTGTACCTGTGAGTGGAGTACCTGTCATTTTGTGTGCCAGCCCTAGTGTCTGTTTCCTAAAACCTCTGCTCTGTATGCGCTGCCCCAGCCTTGCTCTTTGGCACAGCCATATGTTCTGCTGCCGCCGTTCCAGTCGACACGCCTTTAATCTCCAGTCCTGGCAGCTGCTAGGATGTTGTGACTCTTCTGCCTTGTGACAAGGCCACACTGATTTGCAGAAAACATTGCACAAAAGATTTTTAATTTGGCTTGTTTGCACATCGACTGCAGTTTTCTCAAACACCAGCTCCCAATGACCATCTCTCATTGTGTCTCAGCACAGCTGTTAACACGGCTTTGTCTCCAAACTTAGGCTTGATTTGTTCATCACAATAAGAATTGTTGTTGTTGTTGTTGTCAAGTTTTAAATACTTTTTAATTAAGCCCATGTATACAAACCAGCATCAGCTGGTCCATTGACTTTTAAAAAAAAAAAATATATTTATTTATTTTTTATTTTGCATGTGCTTGCAGTTGTTGATCATTTAAATGTTTACTAAAGAACTGGAGGAATAAAATGACCACATGCTATTCTTTGTTAATAATGTACATTTAATGGTGTTTTTATTGAAGTGTTCATTGTTGCCTGCTTACGTGTCTTGGATATCTAGGTCAGAAACATGATGGGAAGTTTGCCGCTTATTACTGATGTGTGTTGAAATTCCAGGTCCAGTCCAGCCTTCCAGAGCAGTCTTTAGATGTTAAAGACTTATTTGCTTCATTTTTCTGTTCAGCTACACAGCTTCTCTACATGCAGTATTTACTCCATGTTTATGAATTGATTTTAAACTTCTATGAAATGCACCAAGTATGGATCAGTTCAGCTACTGGGCAGTGACCTTGTCCTCGCATGTTGTGATGCACAAAACGGGAAGTGGAATCCCAGCAGGAATTACCAGTGGTTGAATAATGGACTGTTAAACCATGAAATCTAGTAAAAAGTAAAGGATGATGCTATGAGGGAAAAACCCTTTCCATTCTGTTAGTTTGTAAAGTTAATGGTATGTTCTTGGTCAAGTTGCATGATGTAACAATCTCTGCAAGCCTAACCTAACAAAATAGAAAAGTGTTTTTTTATTTTTTATTTTTTTTTTTTAATGCATGATGTCAGCATTTAATTTACCAAAACTAAACCGTGTGTAAACTCCATCCATCTGCTCCCCACTGGCTCTGTGCCAGACGGGGTTTGGAGAGCATATTCAAATATGGTGACATGCGTACACCCAGACAAGGCCCGTTTGTCCCACCCCTCCCCCACAGTCTTTCTTTGTGATCCATGAGCTTTAGATCTGAGATTATTTGCAGCAAAACCATGTGGGTGCATTTATTGCCCACCTTGTACACATGCATTTGAAATCTGTCAGACTGACACAGCAATATCTTATATCTACTTTCTTCTTTGAGTTAATTACAATAAGTTTAGATATGATTATTTTATTTAAATTTACTATCCTATTTTGCTGTTGAGGGAAGTCTTGATCAAAAAATAAGTGGTTAGTATTTGCAAGTTAAAATTGTACTGGTTATCATTAATCTTTAAAGTATTGTACTTTTCGCCATATAAGTTGCACCTTTTTGTATAAATTTGCCTGCCCTGCGACTTGTACAGCGAAGGGAATTATATTTTTTTCTTGTGTACAACCCAATTTTTGGCTGAGATCTGACTATTTAATTCATTCTGACATGGGAAATATTGAACACTACCATTTTCAGCCGCTAGATGGCCCTCGAGGTATATGGTAAGCAAAGTGTCTCATTAATAGGCAAGTTGCTATTAACGAGACACTTGGCTTGCCATGCCAAGCCACCTTCGTCTTGTCACGGAACTCTTTAGCAAACATCAAATCAGCTGCATTTCGCCGCTTCACCCAGACGAAATGCAGCTGATTTGACCAATATAGAAAAGTTAAACTGTGACACCTTTGGATATGTCAAGCAAACAATTTAATTGTTAATTTTGTTAAATTCTTAAGTCCTCCGTGCATGCTCCCGTGGCCGCCATTTAGCAGCCAATCAAACTTATTTATTTTTATTTTATTTGTATTTTTTTTGGCACACCGGCCCACGTTTCCGGGTGGTCAACGGTGACTCATAACAAACGTGTGTCAGCAGTGATGCCTAATAGATGACACTTGTATGGCGAAGCAACACATTTATTTTTTTCCCCACTTTGCATATTTGGACTGAGGCGACTTACACGGTGGTGCGACGTGTACGGCGGCAAGTTTGGTAGTAAGAATAATCCTGTTTTAATCATGCCTTCTTTCCCCCTTATGCTCCCCTTTGGATGCAGCTCAACTTTTGGCAACAAGGAGCTACTTTCATTAATGGGATTGTGTGTATGGCTGCTTGGAGGCTTCCTCCAAATGTGGAGTTTAGTAGGTTATAGGCCGAGGGGTATGATGGTGTCCAGGATGCAGTCGGTTGTAGAATGATTTTGGTTGGAACGGAGCAGGCAGTTGACATTTAGCTGCGTTCTCCCCCAAGTCAGTGAGTAGCTTGAACATCGGTTTCCACTGAGGGGCCTGTTTGCTTAGTCTCTAAAATACCGTGTTTTTTGTTATTGTTATTGTTATTGTTGTTATTGTTATTGTTATTGTTATTGTTATTATTATTATTTTATTTTTTTTTTTGCTTATTTTTCATGATTAGACTAATCACCTTAATTTAATTCAGAATGGACAGTGGATCTGCTCTAAATGAACATTTAACTTATTATTCAACGTTCATATATTGGCTGCTCCAGGACAACATTAATCATATTTTGTTTTATTTACAGTAGCTGTAAATGCAAATGTTGCACTCTGTAATTTTGTAATTCAACCAAAGTGGCTTCATTTTGAATGGGTGTTGAAATGTGTAATGGAGAACACAAACTATCTGGAATGATGTTGCCTGCAGCGTCATCAAGAGACGACACCAAGAACACGGTGACGTCACTCAGCAGCTGATTGCAGTTTCGTTCCAGCAGAGGTTTATGAACAATCTTGAAAGACGTTTACTTTAAAAGTCCACTGCAGACAATCAAAGCAGCTGGTGAACATGAGCATCACTGGGAATGTTTTGGCCTCTTGCCATTTGGCTGTCATGTTGCACTACTGTTGGTGGGAACAAAGTGATCCAACTTGGCGAGCGGACAAGTAAGCAAACCCTACTTGGTTTCTTCCAAGTCGAGCTGTTGACGTCTTTAAGTAATAATTAAAACATCTTGCATGAAAATGAATATAGTTTAGCACTATTCTTAACTTGTTTGGCCACTTTTTTTTTTTTTTTTTTTTTTTCTTCATGCTGAGTGAGTCAAAAGTTTGGGAAATTTAGTACCTGATGCTAAGATCCAAACAACAACTCTTTTTTTTATTTATTTTTTTTATTATTTTTTTTATTTTTTTTTTATGAACCAGTAACACTTTACACTGCAGGGAGTCCAGGGAAACAATGAAGTGGAAGTGTACACTGGGAATATTTTCCCTCACCCCACAACCCCCCCCAAAGAACATAATTTTGTTCAGAACTGCTACTGAAAGGTGAAAAAGGCCTGCAACTTGAACAGAGTGAGGGGTTTTGTCTTTTCAAACTTTTTGATTAAGTTGTCAGAACTCTATTGACCTTTTGACAGAATGTTGGGCTTCTGTTAAACTATTTCCTGTTTTATGTGTAGCTAATTGTCTGAGGCAATACTATGTGTTCTAAAATATTCAGTCTTGCAAGACTTTAATGTGTCCGACAATATTTAAATTATGTAGACTTCATGTTGCTCAGTAGGAGCATGGATGACTGGGTGGATATTTGAATGGGAATCGAGGGTTGTTTTGGGGCTTTGCAGACATATGTTAACCACATTCCTACATGCATACATCTCATACATTTGTACATTTATCAGGTCTCTTGCAAATGAGTCCCCAAGGGTCAATGGAATTAACCTGTATAAGTAAAGGTTGAATGGAAAAAATGAATAAATCCTTCTGTTGTGTGGACGGCCTAGAACAGAAGGCATTAGGTATTTGATGGTGCAAAGCTCTGCATGAAATGCTTGAATACAAAAGGCCTTCTTTTATCTCCAGGCCTAGAGCAATGGGATTACGGTCCCAGTGGTAGATGGACCGCAACACTAGACTGAAAACTGCCAACTTCAGCATGGTCTTTGTCATGGTTCAGTCTGGCTCGGATCCCTTCACAACTCCACAAATATTACAACAGCAACAACCCCATTGGATTGAACAGAGAAACTATGAATGTATTTTATATGTAGGTGAAAAAAGAACTTTAAATACTTGAGTTCTTGAGTTATGGAATGTCTTGCATGCCATTGTCATGCAAGGTTGAATAACCAATCAGCAGGCCCCGTTTCCCTTCTGAAGGTAAATCCTAGAATGTGCTGCTATTGTTGCGCCGTATTTTACGCCATTAGTGGCTGGCGTATTTAGATCTTTTAGCATACAGTTTGGTGTTCATTTAGCATATATTGGTGTATATTTTGGATCTGTATTTAGTTTTTTTTTTACACTTTATATTTTTGCTATTGTTGGATGCACCTGGGACCCTGTGTACATTTCATTCCACCTCATGTACCATGTGGTAAAATGACTAAACCTAATTGAACTTGATTTTTATTTTTTTATTTTTATTTTTTTACACAAAGGTCATGTTTTGGATATTGATGGATTTCTAGTAAATGTGATGGGTGCCAAAATGCATGAAACCAGAAACTGCTTGTGCATGCACATTAAAAAGAAATAAACATGCGGTGCAGTTTTGGACGTAAAATCTGGAACATAACGATAATCATAAAACTTCTGTATTTTTGTACAGGAGGAGTCATTAACAGCCAAGATGGAGGTGAAAACATCACTTCTAGACAATATGATTGGGGTTGGGGATATGGTCCTTCTGGAGCCCCTGAATGAAGACTCATTTCTGGACAACCTGAAAAAACGCTTTGACCACAATGAGATCTATGTAAGTATACTGGTTCCTGTAGTGTTGGCTGTCTCTCTGCTCAGTTGCGCTGTGACAAAGTTGTCATTCCCAGATTTTAGAAACTGTAAGAAAACAAAAAAGAAGCCCCCCACACCCCAAAATAATAAAAAACAAAAAACGGAGGCACTTTAAGTCTGCCTTTAATTTCTCTTATTCTAGTGATGACTATTGAAGCAGTCCAGATGTAGACACTAACAATTTAAAATGATCTGAGAATGATGCCCTCTTGAGGCCTAAAATCTGAAGCTTTGTAGCAAAAGGGGAAGCCACTCAGACTGGCTTCTTATCTCTAGAAAAAGGGGGTTCTTGATCTGTCCTCTCTTCCACAAGCAATTGGTTTGTGGCTTTGTGCTGTGGCAGTCCATAATTTCTTTGCTCTGCAGGTTGGCCTGGTCCAAACGTCAGCCAGGATGATTACAGTTCTGCTCTGGCTGCTTTTGGCTCACAAGGCTGAGAGTTGACATCACTGACTCAATATAAATATCTACAGAATAAGTCTCTGGCCAGAAATGGGGATAATTGAACATTTGAGATGCAGACTTTTTTTTTTTTTTTTTTTTTTTTTTGATCTAAACAATAAATTTAAATTTTTATTGCATTTGTTTTTATTTCAATTTTTTTTTTTTTTTTTTTTTCATTGTGCAACATTTTAATGGTTTTGGCCATGTCTTAGTAGAGCACAAACTCAATCCAGAGGTAAAATGAAAAGTGGAATGACTTTAGTCCGTATTGGAAGTTTTTGCGTAGTACAAACTGTACTTTTTGAATAATGCCCAGAAAAGGTATCTGAGCCAGTATTTATCTAGTGAATCAGTGGTGTACAATTCTTGCCTTTTTTTTGAATGCATTTTCCCTCATGTGGCATCATTCCTCACAAATGGACCCATCCCCCACACCAAACTATCATATGACAGCCCACAGAACATGAAAATGAGTCTGTTTTCCAGAAGGGCAGCACTTCATGTATCCAATAACTGTGTAGAAAATCAAGACGTACACAGTCACACTAGTAAACGTAAACCTTCTTGTCTCAAGCCAACAAGTGGAGACCTCTGAGAATAAAATATTTTATGTTTTTGTAACACTCTACACACTGAATCGATCATGCAGCATCTTTGCAAACTATTAAATCACATTTTATTTAAAGTGCTAAACATTAAATAAAACATCTATATGGTGTGTTGCGGTGTATTTCATTTGGTGTGCACACCACTTTTTTACATTAGTAATTCAAAAGAAAAATGTAATCTTCTCTTTTTTTTTTATTTATTTATTTTTATCTAACTCATTGAAGCCAATGCTTAGTGTACAGCACAAATGAAATTGCAACAAGAAATATGTAAACACTTTATGCATCTCTCCCCTTTTAAGAAGAAATAAATAAATTGTGCAAAACTTTCTATTGATACTAGTTTTTATGACTTTAATAACGAGTTTACCAGCATTTTTATCATTTGAAAGACATTATTTTAATCCAAATAATTAGATGAAGTTACCCCCCCCCCCCCCCCCCACAATAAAATTCCCCCCCCCCCCCCACACACACACCCACATTTCCCTATGCATTCCACTTTTAACGAGCCTTCAATATTTTATTTATATTGCACACTTTTATTTTTTGTGTGCATCCTCCGCACTTTAAAAGGTCTCATGTTGCCACTGGTGTGCTGTTAACACGAGGCTGTGGGAGGCTGTGATGTTGCCACAGGGAAGGCCGTGCTCCACTCTTGTCAGAGTGGCTTATGCAACAGCCATTACCATGGAGAGCAAAGAAAATATTCCAGGTTGATATTTGAAAGTGTTATCTGAGCCCAGCTTTGTGCATGGGAGGATGAAGATGATGATGATGATGATGGCTGGTTGCATTCCCTTTCAAATGTACCTGACGAGGGTTATTTGTTGATTTGGATGTTGCATAACTCTTTTTGGTCATATAAATGCAAATTAGTATTTTCATGATAAAATTAAATAAGTTAATGTATTTCACTGAAAAATGCCACCATATCATTACAGAGAATAAAAGGGAAAGTGACTTTGTAAACTTAGCAGTCCAAGGGATTTTAATGGGTAAAAAGAATCATAAAATCTATCATAAAAGAATCATAAATTAGGAAAACCCTGGTCCTCAAAGTTCTTTCAGTAACAATTTTTCACACTTTATTAAAAAAATAAAAATAAAAAAAGACTAATCAAAGTGGAGTTGGAGAAATATAAATGACATGCATCCAGAACGGAGTCTGGTCACAAACAAGAATTGGAAGAAATAACCTATTCTGGTGAAATTACTTTAAACTGAGAGAACTGCTGGAGATTTAGGCCTGTCTAATGTGTTACTGATGTTTGCTAACAATTACTAGGGATGAGTTAAACGCCATTTTCATAACAAAAGCCTGATTGACTCCTCATTAATGGTGTGTCAACGCCTATAACGAGGCCTAATACCCAGGGATTCACTTGAGTGCAGATGCAAGATAAAGAATAGTTTAAAAGTTTTTAAATCCTATTAAATTACCAAAAATTGGAAAAACAAAAAAAATCAAATCAAAGACCTCATGATGAATGTGATATAAAAGTTTCCCTGTAGCATACTGTGATTTTATTTTGACATTTTTCTAAATGCAGCAGGGTACATCCGTTCGTCTTGGTATGTTGGTTGTATACAGTGGTTCAAACCTCTTCCCTGTGCACCACAACTTCTGCTGTCCAAATACTAATCCAATACTGCCCAGTCCAGATTCCACAAACCTTACTTTGTTGTGATTCTCAGTTTCACTTCAGGCACTGCATGCCACAACAATGTGTTTGGATCACTCAACTGAAAAGTAGCGGAGTCCCTGCCTCATTTAAAAAAAAGCTTCCAAACGGACAGAAGGAAATAAATAAGGTGTTGGTGTTGAGTTGGAAAGACGTAACATATTCACACTAACTGTTCAGTTTCCTCTCCCTCCAGACATACATTGGCAGTGTGGTGATCTCCATAAACCCCTACAGGTCCCTGCCCATCTACACGCCAGAGAAGGTGGAAGAGTATCGCAACAGAAACTTCTATGAACTTAGTCCCCATATGTAAGTTTATTATTGCGTATTTATTATTACCGTATTTTTCTATAACTGTGCGTACACATTTCATGCTTTTGTACTAGGGACTCGAGTACTTGAGGTGATGGTGTGGTTTTTAGGTTTTGTTTCTTTTGTGTGAATTTGGGAGTGGCACTTGACGAGTGTTTAAGGGTTTGGTCATCTGAATGTGATGAGTAGGGACTGTCATGTCTTAAGGATGCAGGATGTTGCAAAGTTTTGGAAGTATCACTCTGACACAGTGACTAATGCAGATGGGTTTTGTGGGAGGCAGTCTGACATCAGAAGAACACTGTCTGTATGGAGAGTCATTAGCTCGTCTTCTGGCAGTTCAAGATCATGGCATGCCATCTGTTTATTGGCAGCTCCAACTCTGTATTGCAGCATGTGAGCCAAGACAAAACAAAGTCTGATGCTTGTCAATTGGCTTGCCATGGCTCGAGGCTAATGCAAACTCCTCAAAGACGGAGTGGAAAAGTGGGGTACCCTTGTGCAAGCACAAACTGTAGATAAGTCTCTTGGCTTTTCTTAAACTCCGCTCTTGCACCATTTGAGGCTCGTTCCTTTCCCTTTCGTGGTCTTTTTATTTTTCTCTGGGCAGACATAAGTTTCCATTGTCCCCCATTTTTTATTTTATTTATCTCCCCCCCCCCCCCCCCCCCTTTATATTAAAGTACATTTAAATGTTTTGTACCCTACAATGTCACTGTCTTGCAGTTTCTTAATCTGTTGCATCACCTTGAAGGATCAGTTTAAGGATGATCTACCTCTGTTATGTTTTAATGTAAATTTTAAATCTAGACGCATGCAGACACTGAAATCAAAGTTTGCCATATTATCATGCTAGGTAAGAAAAAAATCTTGTTTGGGGGGGGGATGCTTTCCATTTGTCCCACAATCTTTAACTACATTTCCAATGGTAATGAGTAGTAACTCCAAACGACATAAAAATATTCATTTTGTTGAACTTCTTCTTTCCATAATGTAACATTGTGCTACATGTCTAAAGGCATTTAAACACTGAAAACAAGTTAAAGATGGCTTTGTCTGCATTTAAGTAGATCGGAAATGTACGTAAATCAACTCTGCTTTTACTTCAGACTGGTTAACGTAAGCTTGCTATTAATCTTTAAGTAAAAAAAAAAACTTCCCTCGATTTATTTAAAGCTTCATAAGACTTACAATGTCAGTCGGATTAACATCCAGTGGAAGTTGATCTGGATCTATCTTCTGGTTTGACCATCTGGACCAAGCATTAGATTGGCATTGCTGTTTTTAATATGTTAAGTAATGTTGAACCCCCAATGAGATCAAATGAGTCAACTTATTTTATTTCCTTATTCTTTTGGCTGCTCCCTTCCTCGGGTTGCCACAGTGAACAAACTTGCACAAAGGCTTTTTTTTTTGTTTTTTTTGTTTGTTTTTCTCCCCCCCCCCCCCCCCATATCAAATGAATAACCTAGATGTGAAGGAGCTAATTATTGTTTTTTTTTTTATGAAGTCCATACTCAATTTCTATTAAAGTCCATGTAATTCTTTTGTATCTAAACAAAAAAAATACCCAAATGTTTTTGTTCAATAGTTTATCGAATTAACAGTCTGTCTTTGTCTTGTTCAGTTACAAAATCATCTTTGAACTTTGAACACGTTTGCCAATTATTTTTATAGAAACTCAACAAATAGGTTTACGTACTTGGAGTTAGAAACAGATATTTGGTTTCACTGAGGAAAGGTTTCTAAAGCTAATGATCATTGTATTTAAAAATAAAATAAAGGTTGTCCAGTATTAAGAAACCTTATCCTAGATGCAATCGCATAACTTAATTTTTACACAATTTCCCTGAACTGAACAAAATATTTTTTTCTGTTTAGTAATAAAAAGTTAGATGCAGATGAATAGCTGGGTTTGTAAACAAACTGGATTTATTTGAATAGATTTTCCTTCATTGTATTCAAAGGAGGGCAGTTGGTGTTTTACAAAGGCAAGAAAAATGTTTGTACTCACAGCAGAGATCAGTAAATCAATGAAAAAAAACTGATTCTGCCTGCTGAAGTTTGGCCTTTTCGATGTTTGTTTATTTATTTTAATTCTTTGAATTAAGTTTTTTTTTTTACTTGCCTATTTTGATCCAGAACTCCAGTTATACAGCTCATTTGAGGCAAGACTGCTGTACTGGTTCTGGAAGGATAAAATCACTGGATTTTTAGCATTATTTTAGCACATGTAAGTGGACAGTGCTGAAGTACATCAGTGTTTTAATTAAGGCAACTAGAGGGGATGTTGCACCTATTCCTTTTTCCTGTCTTTGATTCTAATTCAACACTTGTTACTTGCAAGGTTGGTACTTTAAAGATGCCCCCAAACATGCTACTGTGTTTGTGCTTCATAAAAAAAAAAACAACAACTTTAATTTACACTTTGAGATATGATCACAGAATGGTGTAAGGAGTGACTGCAATAAGGGTTTATCACAACTAAGATTGCCATATATTAAATAATGATATTGCATTCCTGAAGTTCTTAACTACATGCAACTTCTAGAACAGATAGTTAGATACAGATAGCTTGGGTTTACATAGTTGTGATGGGATGTTATGTCAATGTCAGGTGTGATGTTTTTGAGTTTGTGCAAGTGTTTGCTTTAATTAGGAGGCGTGAAGGTTGTCATTGACAGGTTCTGTGCTGCTGAATGATAGAATAACCTTTTGAAACTACCAGTGCATGTTTGACAATTCCAGAAGTAATGGTGTGCTTTGAGTATTTAAAATGTTTGTATTCTTTTGGAATTATGACATTGAATTAGCATAAATGTGAGCAAAATTGCAGAAGTAGTCCATGCTGTTGACTGTAAATGTCTAATAGTTTATTTCAATGCGTCATTGTAAATGTGCTAAAGTTGGTTAACATTTAAGTTTATTGCAGGTAAATTGGTGTTTCATGGCTTGGACATGGATCAGTTTAGGAAATGTGTTAAAGCATGTTCTATTAGCTTTTAACAGAAAATATTTTAAATACCTTTTTTAATCTGGGTTTTGACAGGTTTAGGTTTTGCACAAAAAATATCTATATATGGATGAAGGTAATACTTTTTACAATTACTATTATTTATTTATTCTTTTTCCCTTTTTGTAGTTTTAATCTCGAACCAAACCATACAGCTACCAGTACTTTTGATGGTAATTTACTTGAGTTAGTTTAAAAGAACTGTTCAGCCACACCCATTCCTACTAATCTAGTCATTGTTTCCACTGCTCATCATTTTAGCAAAGTGCTCTCTGCCCAGATGAGGCACCTTTGTAATTAACTGGCAGGTGCCCCCCCCCCCCCCCCCGCTAAACAGACTATGCATTAGAGATGAACTAATCTGTTTCTGTCACAGATGGCCTCTGGTCATCTTTTGTACGTTGATTGCCACCCAGTTTAGACACCGATTGAGTGTGCTGTGCGTGCGTGCGTGAGGACAGTTTGCTAACCCCATGTCTCCAGGGTAGGATTGTGTTATCTCCATGTTTAATGAGGTATTGAGACCCCTGATGCTTTCAGCACTCAATGCTTAATGCCACTAGAGCATTGGTCACAGAGCGGCATCAGGACTGGCTAATGGAGCAAAGAGGCCCCTTTGCATGTTGCAGGTCAAGACCTCCAGCTGTCATGCGAATGCTTATGACAGATCATCTGTAAAATTGGTCTATGTAGAATAGGATTTTAAAGTTTTATTTATTTCCTGTTATTTTAAATTAGATTCTTATACTCTATTATGGACTGCCAAGCTGTCAAACATTTTCATGTCTTTGTCAACTATGTCATGTGATCTCTTTTATTAGCCAAGCTATTATAAAACACAGCATTATGTAAATGTCACTATTAACATGTTTTTGTATGAGGACATGAAACTCTGATTACATAAAATCAATCGCTGCTGTCATGGCTGTTTCCAGAATGTGACCTCTGCCCTGCTTGTCAGACAGCAGGAATCAGAGTTCACATGTGGAAGTGAACTAATGTTACTGACTGCCAGATGAGCATCAGATCTATTCCATTTTATGCAGTCTACTCTTTAAAAAGTATCTTTAGTCATAAGTATTTAAAATTAAACAGGTTAACAGGTTTATTTTTCACATTCCTACCAATAACTCATTTTGTTAACTCCTTCTCCCTCATTGGTGTGGTTATCAAAAGTCTTTGATCTGGAAAAAAACCTACCTAAACCCATCCATTATCTTTTTTTTTTTTTTTTTTTTTTTTTTTAAGTCACTGTGGTCACTGGTGCCCATATTCAGTCACTGTGTGAGAGGCGGGGGCACCCTGGTCCATCCCAGGGCCGTAGACCTTTTTGTTTTTAAGAGTTCAGTCATTGATAGTTTGTTTTCCTCTTAATCATGGGAGTATTATAGTAAATTGGTGCTTTTCCTGTTTGAAGGATGGTCTTTGGAATCATTATCTGCATCGTAGAATCACACGTGTGCCTTTCCAGTGTTTGTGTTAAAAAATATTTAATCAAAGGGCATAAAATAAGATGTAAATCTCCTGTAAGAGAAGAGAAGCATCTTCTCTGGCTGTTGATTTGGACACTAGGTGAGATGCAGATTACCATATAAAGCTTGGAAATATTCAAAGGTTGGCATGGATTTTTATTTTTTTTTTTTAAATTTTTTAATAAGTTATTCTCTTAAAAGTTGGTGATCTAAGACTCCAAGAATATGAGTGCATTTGGTGGGTTTTAACCATGGCAACTGACAAATCACCCAATATGACCATTGGCCTTAAATAATGCTCAACTTTTGGGCTTAATAGTTTCAAATTGAGTTGCTCCAAAGTCCCCCTCAGATATTATGAAGTTAACTGGATTTGTACCAGAGTATAAACATTTAAATTTCTTGTATAAAGTTTTTGCATTCGGGAATTGGCTCATATCTGAGTCAGTCTTAAGTTTTTTTTTTTTTTTGTTTGTTTTAACAAGTGTCAAACGATGCCTATTTGTTAAAAG